ATAATAGAATGCTTCACTCATTGAAGTTCAGGATTCCAAAGCTCTGGCGATTCGTTGAAGAGTGTTCAGCAATCACAAACTCGAATCAGTACCTTGACGCCTCAGCTACTAGGTCAGCTTCACTTGAGTTAGAACATGTAACAGTTTATGCTGTGAGCTTCCACTGTCGGCACCGTTCCTGTGAAACCTTCTCTGACGTGATATAACGACATCGCGCCGCCTGCCTCCTCCGTTCAGAACGATCAGCGGCGATGAGCAAGGTCTGATCGCTGACTTTTAGGAGGCTGCCGGCTGCCTCAGTCCCTCAACCGCCTGCACGGCCTTTGGCAACCCAGGCGAAAACGGAGTCGGTATATCGTTCGATGATGACAATGCTAAGAGGAACAGGTGCATAAGTTCTACGACATACGTAGCCACGTTCTCCAACCCTATTCCCTTCTCCTCCACGTTGCAAATGCTCATTAAGAAGTAATTATTCCGCGATCACGGTGACACGTTAATCGATGGACCTGTTTGATTGATTAAGATCCAGTAAATCGAAGTTTATTTGTTCATGCGACGCGCGTTGCTATCAGCAGAAAGTGATTTCACTGAGGATAGGATATGTACAAAGTCTTATTAAATGTTGAGTTTGAATGTACTGCATGAATTTCTACAAATACCAGATCTCTGATCTTTTAGAGATCTAGCAACAGTCCCGACAGAAATGACATCACCGAACGGCGGTAAAGTTAGGTGTGGACAGGCAGTGCTGTGCAGTTTTTCATGTCCCAGCATCTTGCGAACAGGCCACTTAGATTTTGAGGTGTAGCGAGTGAATAGCGAGGTATTTGCATCGTTAAACAGCGACCGACAGAAACATCGATCCGCTTTAATGACCTCCTGCATGGTTGATAGCATAAAATCCTAGAATCAGTAGAAGGTTGCAAAATTCAGTTATATTCCTCATGATAAAACGCGCCACCCGTATCAGTTGGCTGTAACTTACCGTAAACGTTGATCCGTTTTGATCTTTATAAGAAACTTTCTATTAATATTCAATTGATTTGTCATGCC